ATAACCTCATTAAATCCTCGTTAAAAGCTCTATGGTATAATTATCATTGCTGCAGCTCTTCAGCAGATTTTTAAAAATGAAGCTTTAAAAAAGAAGATAAATATCTTCCTAAAGTCACATAAATAATAAATAGCAGAGCTGGAGTTCATGCCTGTATCTCTCCTATGCCAAATTTTAAGTTCTTAAGTATTATACTTTATTTTTTTTCTTGAAACCTAAGTTTTAATTAGGAAACTATAGCTGTTTCTGAATTAAATTTTTATATTTAATTACACATGCAAATTATAGAAAGAATATAATTATATAGGAAAAGAATACAAATTATATCTAGAAATTGATGTCTGATTTGAATGTTTATGTGGTATATATTAAATATACATTTGTGTTATATAGTTTTAAATATTTGTGTATACACACAACTGCTCAGATCAAATTTATTATTCCCAAAACACTCACTTCTCTCACTCCATTTTTAATGAATATATCAGTTCTACAGGTGACAGCTTTCCTTCCTTTGGAGAGTAAATCTTCTCAATTTTGTCCTCCAACTATATCTGTTCTTCCCTCTGTTTTCTCTGCCACTAATTTGTACAAAACTGAGAATCATTATGCATTTGCCAACCATACACTAGGCAGAATTCCAAAATCTGAAGACAACATCTTTGCTTTAGGAATCCATGGTCTACTGCAAGAGAAAGACAGAAACACACTCACAAAGGTACTCTGCCACCCTTTGTTCAGAAAGCAACGATGGGGGGCCTGGCCCTAGCTCAGGCCTTTAAGTGGCAGCTTCCACAAAGCTGTCAGCCTCAGGTTGCTGGAGTTCGAACCTCACAACTCTCCCGCTGGCCAAAAGTGCCCTGAAGGTGTTCGAGGAACAAAAAAAAAAAAAAAAAAAAAATCCTTAAAAAATAAAAAAATAAAAAAAAAGAAAGCAACAATGGAAATTGGACACACCATGAAGGAAGCGATGGACAGTGGGGCCTCCAGGAGGGGAGCTCTCCTAGGGAAGGATACTGTAAAGCTGAGCCTGTGATTAAAAGCCAGACTACAAGGGAGTGCCTGCCGGTAGCAGAGCCCCATGGACATGGGAAGCAAGCCTCCTTCGAGCCCATCAGTTTACTCCTGGCTACCAAAGTGGCCACCAACTGGCCTTAGCTCTCCTTTGATCAAGTCCACTTGGAAGCTGCTCACAAGCTCTCTGGAAGCAAACTTCCGCTCACTCCGACTTTACTCAAAAATCCTCATTATCGCAAATTCTCACAGCATCCCCAAATTGCTGCCTTTTATTTAAGGGCCTTTGGATATGTTTCCACACTTTCTTATCTCCACCATGATTAACAGTGTTAAAAACTGCTAGTGGGTCTGCTGCCTCATTGAGAGAAAACACAACTTAACCTTATATCTTGGTTTCCAGCTGCCAAAATAGCTAAGCAGTTTTCACGATGCTCTCAGAATTTTATACATGGGATAAAACTTAGCCCTATTAATCCAGCTTCCTCTTCTGCCTCAACGGCTCCCTCCTTCACTCTTTCAGAAGGTATATGTGGGTGATCTATTATATGTGATTCTCAAGGTAACCATCCCACACTAAATTCATCCCACATACTTTCTCCTTCCTCTTCCTCTTCCCTTCCGTCCTCCAGATTTTCACCTTCCTATGTTCTAGATAATAAGTTATAAGTTGATATGTTCATAACTGTAATGGACCACAGTTTCTAACTTGTGGTCAGCTTATTATATCCAGCTGAATCAAACTAGTCTTGTGCTGGGTGCAGAAGGGCCATATGAGGGTTAGCCAGCAGCATAAAAGGCAGAACAGGAGAAGCTGCCAAAATACTGTTAGGGATGCTGTCCTGAGAAGTTGCTGGAGCTGTTGAAAGCTGCTAGTTCTCTGGGCTGTTCCACTGAGGAACCCTTGTCGTGCTGGCTTGTCGATGAACTTTGGGGGAGCTTTAGTCCTCATCTTGAGCATCACTTCCTGGCTCCGGAGGGCAAGATGGCACACTGCTCAGCATCATGGAGAAGCTTGTTGCATTGGCTTTCCTGGTGGGAGCTCGGCTTTCCTCATTGCTGGAGGAGCTCAGGACCTCACTGTTGCTGAGGATGCTGTGGTGCTTTTAGGGAAGCTCTGGTGCTTGCCTTGAGGGTGCTTCCTAGCTCCAGTTCAGACTCCTCAGCCTGCTGGCACTGATCCTTCGTCCCGCTGGCATAGACTTTCTAGCTTCCACCACTACCTTCGGGCTTCTCCAGCACAGATCTGTGAAGCAGGGCTGTATGAGACTTAGTTGTGGGCTCTAGGACTCCATTTGGACTTGTGGGAGGTATGCTTATGAGCTCTAGGTTTTCACCTGGACTCATGTGGGATATTAGGATCCAGGCCCTCAGCGGGAGTCTTTAGTATTTAGTGTGTGGATAGATTTCCTTCACTTGTTGTATATGATTCTTGGGTGATTCATTATCAAATACTATTATAAAATGTGTCTTTTATTATATTGTTCTCCTTGCAAAACCCACAAACCATGACAATAACCAATCTTGCTATGGTTTAAAGAGGGCATGAACCCTGGGAAATCTGTACTAAAAGTTTGTTGCCATTGTAACAGTGCTGAGGGATGGTGGGGGTTTTCAGAAGTGATTAGGTCCTTAAGAAAGATGAATGCCCTTCTGGAGGGAAGGAGTTCTCGCCCTCATAGGACAGATTATTTATCCCATGAGGAAGTTATTATAAAGCCAGGGTATCCACTCTCCTATTTTCTCTCCTATATATATATATACCCACCTGACCTTTCATCTTCCCATGTTACAATGCCCTCACCAGCCCCTGCTGCTCTGCCCTTGGGCTTCCCAACCTCCACAAATCATAAATCAAAACTATCCCTATTCTTTATATAAATTACATAGTCTCTGGTATTTTGTTACAGCAACAGAAAACAAACTAAAATGTTACTCTTTTTTCTCTCTTAATTGTCACCCAGGTATGTCCATTTCTTTGTAGGGAATATATCTAAATTCTGTTCTAGCTCTATTACCTAATGTCCCTGCTGAACTACTACAGCACTCAGCTGTTTTCCACCAGGAAGTTCAAGCCGTGTAAAGGAATCAACATCTTCCTTATTTATAGCAAATAGAGCACATTTAAAGTTCCTCTACACTGTAGAGTGTTAATCTTACAGAAAATAGCACTGCAAAGTTCTTAGAAAATCACTTGAAGAGTCCCAGAACAGTGATCAAAGAGGATGACTTGGTTACTTCTGACTTCCAATTCAAAGCTTATTCTTTCAGTGAATTGGAGCACTTTGCATTTCATAGGAAAATACTTCACAAGTTGCTTTTTATTTCACAAACATTTATCTGAACTTTAAGGGCCTCAGGTTTAAGTGAAATGGAAACACCAATAAGTCATGTCTATGTTCAATGGAGATATCTTAATATGGAGATAAACATCAGCATCTTTCTCCCTCTCCCTGGTGCCAGCACAATGCCCAAGTGTATGGGTATTGAATGAAACCCGCCACTCTTGGTCCCCTTCCCATGCTAATGATGCTTCTTTGGCTCCTTTACATTCATCATAGCTTCCTTCAATTTTAATTTTCTGTCTTCTCTGGGAAGCTCTCTATACTCCAATAGTTTATTCTGAACATATTGCACATTCTTAGTACCAATACGTCAAAAACTAAATTTAAATGGTTAATTACTATATTCTGCAGAGAGATGTCTTTGTGCTAAACCAAATAAAGAAATTTTAGGGCCAGTGAGATAGCTCAGCGAGCTCAGCGAGCTAAGCACCTGCCCAGGCAAGCTTAGGGACCAGGGTTCAATCCCCAGCACCACATGCTATGCCAGGCCCTCAGGCACGCTGAGTGGGCCACCAAGACAAGGCGTGGTGGCACACGCCTGTAATCCCAGCAATGGGGAGGCTGAAAACAGGACGACCACTACAAGTCTGAGCTGCATAGTGAGGCCCTATACCAAATATATTAAAAAAATTTTTAAAGGTGGTATTTTAGACTGGGAGTAGTAGCATGCACCTGTAATCCCAGTGCTCAGGAGACTGAAAACAGGAGGATCACTACAAGTCTGACCTTTGTAGTGAGACCTTGTAGACCCTGTACTAAATACATTTTTAAAAGTGAGTTTAAAAGTAAAACAAAAAGTTTTTAAGACTTAAGCTTGAGTGCAAACAGTAAACTAGTACAACAACCATGAAATTGTTATAGACAGTCCTCTATAGATTAAAAATAGAAATTCCTTTCAATCTATTTCCCTTTCAGTTATCTTCCTGAATTAAGGTCATCCTATCACAGTCATACCTAAAAGCTTCATGTTTATGACAGCACAATTCATAATATGTCCTATATGTCCATCTGCAGATGAGCGGACAAACAAATGTATTTACTCGCAATTGAGTACTACTCTACCATAAAGAAGGATAAATCTGAGTCATCTGTAGGAAAATGGATGCATCTTGAGACAATACTATGAAGTGAAATAAATCAGACATACAAGTTTAAATATCACATGATTTCTCATGAGATCTCCAAAGTGAAAATACAGTAGTTTAAAGAGCAAAATAAAAGATAATAGGAAATAGGAGCATATCTCTCTTGAAAGTGGGAAGAAGACCAAGAGACAGAGGTGGAGGAAAGAAGGGAAGGGGAAGCAAGAAAGATATGTTACATATATACAGGTACCAACTCCCTCCAGTGAATGTAGTCATTATGTATTGCAAACATACATAAAGAAGTTTAATTGCTACTGGGATAGGCTCCCGCGATGGGGAGCAAGGTTTTCAGAGGTACATTTCCATCCAGAGGAAATGCAAACTATCAGATTCCCTAAACCCCAAATGCACAGCCAGCCACAGCATAAGGCAAAAAAAACCCATGAAATGCCTGACCTCCGACTCTCTAGAGGGCGCTGCACAGATATGGCCGCCAATACCACATTTCCTATCGCGTCTGCCCCGCCGGGCTCAATAGTTCCTGTGACGCACTTCCGGTTGGCCAGCGGCGCACGTGTGTCCCGGAAGGAAGTAACGTCAGCCGGGAGAGTCGCGCTGGGACCCTGGTTTCTCCGCAAGCATGTCGCACTTGCAGATGAAACTCCTGCGTAAGAAGATCGAGAAGCGGAACCTCAAACTGCGGCAGCGGAACCTAAAGCTGCTGGGTGAGCTGCGGCGGCTGAGCGGGGCGCGGGCGGCCTGGAGCGAGCCGGCGGCCGGGGCGCCTTCCGGGCCGGCCCTCGCTGTGCCGGGTGTCCGGGTGGCCCCAGGTCTGCGCCTGCCGGGGCGGCGTCCGTCTCTAGCCCGCGGGGTTGGAGGGTTGGATGTCGAGGCTGAAGGTTGCCTTCCACCCTCCTGGCCGGGCTTCCGTCCGCCTCGCCTTCGGGACTGCCCGCCGCTTTCGCGTCCACTTCGTCCCCCATCCCTTCCCATCCCTCGCACTGGTGGCACTTTGATCCTGGCGCGTCTTCGGGTCGCGTCTTGTGTTTGATTCGTCGGTGGCTTCCTCCAAAGGCTTAAGTGCCACACTCTGCCCAGAGCACGTTCTTGACGCTTCGTGGCGCTTCTTTGTCTACAGCTCTGCAGGTGTCGTCCTTTCGTGCCCCGTGCTCTTGTAGCTGTAGGTTAATTCCTGTAGCTATAGATTAATTCCTGAAGGGTTTCCACATATTTCTGTTCTGCAAAGTGACTCAGATTGGAAGGATTTTTACCAGAGTAGCTCCATTCTTACCCCAATTGACAGTCCTACCAATGGACGGGAAATCTTGAAGTGATGGATCCACTGTTCAAATTTCCACAATAGAGTCTGAGGCATGGTTCCTTGCCCCAAGTGTTTTTTTGTTTTGTTTTTGTTTTTGTTTTTCTTTTATGTGTTTGGTACAGGGTCTCACTATGCAGCTCTAACTCATAATGATCCTCCTGTTTTCAGCCTCCCCAGCACGGGAATTACCAGCTCAGCGCACCCCAGGAGCAAGGCCAGCGCGGCATGCGGGACTGGGCATTGAACTCTGGTCCCTGAGCTTGCCAAAGCAGGCGCTTAATCTGCTGAGCTATCTCGCCGGCCCTCCAAGTGATTTTCAACAGACTTTTAACTGACTGAAAGAAATCCTGGCTTAGACAATAGGCTTGTTTGTTTTAGGGCAGTGTTTTGGAGTTCCCTCTTATTTCCAAGTCTTGGAGAATAATTAACATTACTAAGTATCTCTTGATGCGGGCATAGGTAACATTGTGAACAAAGGTGATTTTCTTTCTGTAGACAAAACTTAAGATAGTTTTGTGTATAAAAAATATTGAAAAAATAATTTAGTTCGTTGACTAGATTTTCAGTTCTCTATTCTAGAAGAATTGAGGTTGAATGTTGTGAAGTTATATGAGAAGTGGCAGATGTATGAATGAGATGTAAATGTCGTTAATTAACTAATGTTGATTGAGTAGTTAAGAATATTTTTTTACTACCACTTGTCTGGTCACATAAGTTTTTTACTTCACTGATGTTTTCCTGCCCCGAACTCTGGAGATAGATAGGACCTTGTGAAATGAAGAAATAAATACAACTTTTCCTTTTCCATGCAGCATTTTTCCTTAAAGAAAACCTACACCAAAAATTGCAGTTAATTTGAACAGTGAACGTGCAAGTGATGAGAAATGTTAAGTAATTTGTGTCCTGCAGTTTCTCACGTGGGACTGTAATGTTTTGAATAAACCTACCCTTTGTCATGGTACATGTTCTGTTTTTAAACAGGAACCTCCAATGTGAGCCTGTCAGAAATTCAAAATGGCATTGTGCCCGAAGAAACAAGCGTTAAGAAAAAAGTTAAAAAATCCCTAAAACATTCTATGAATGGGGGCTTGCCTGAAGCTGAAAATGGAGATGTATTTGAAGAAACAGGGCAAGTTGGGAAAGTTAAAAAATCTGCAAAACTTTCTGTGATTGCCAGCTTGTCTGAAGCTCAAAATGGAAATGAGCCTAAAGAAACAGGGAACGTCAGAAAAGTTAAAAAACCTCTGAAACGTTCCGCGAATGGGAGCTTGACAGAAACTCGAAATGGAGATGAGCGTGAAGACGCGGTAGAAAATGTCAGAGTTCAAAAGTCCCCCCCGAAACCTGCCATGGTAGGCAAGGCAGAAGCAGCAACCCAGTCTCCCAACTCAGAATCAAAAAAGAAAAAGAAGAAGAAGAGAAAAGTAGTGAATGATGCCGGGCCTGGTAAATATTTCATTTTCTTTGAGCCTCAGACAGTTTATCACAGTTAGCATTCCGCTTTCCTCTATTATTATTGTGTTCATATTGTATTCAAGAATTCTTTGGGCTCATCAGTATGCCACAGGTTAGCAATGTCTTTTTGGTAGTTAGCTGGGCTTTTTAATGGTAAACAGAACATCCCCCATGTCATATTTTGGTTTGTGTATTTGCAGGCAGAATTACCAAGACTAAAGAAATCCATGCTGGTAGTAAGGGTCTCTCCCTATGCCTTTCTCTGTAAAGGGATTATCTCTTGCCCTTCTTCAATTTTGTTAACATAAATTTCTCTCCGCTTAGACAGAAACTGAGTTGCAATGACATTTAGGAATGTTCCAAATAAAACAATTTCCAAGTGAGTGGAGTAAACAGAATAATGTTAAACAAGGGGGAGAGGGAAGGAAGATGACTAAATGTAACAAACTCATGTGAAGGGGTGTGTATTTTAATTGAGATATGGATAAGCTGAGATTTCCAGGTAGGCTAATGGAGGAGTCAGCAAATTGGCCTTCCTCCTGTTTCTGTTAAATAGTTTCATGGGCTTGTGGTAATGCCCATTTGTTTATTTTTATTACAGTGGAGACCATGTACCCTGCAGTACCCAAAATATTTATTGGAACTTTGTGGGAAGTTTGTCCACCCCTGAGTTAGAACATCCTGTAGATGTGTTTTACTTGAAGTAAAGGTTTCATTTAGAAAACAGCTATGACATTTTCCAAACATACATGAATGTCTTCATGCTCCCTACAAAATAATAAACTTATAAGAAGTCACTTACATGAAAAGTAAAACAAGGTAGACAATATCACAATGATTGGAAAATAATTTTGATATAAAGTGATTGTAATCCTACTCTAAAATTTATGAATGGCTTCAGGATTGCTCTGAATATGCCCCAAGAAAGTAACATCTCTGTTCTCAAGCCCTGAAACCACGAAATGGGAGCTTTAACCTTTGGGTGAACGTGATAAGGCAAGGATAGAATTGATGACATCATGACGAGGTGACCATTTCCCAAAAGAGTTGCAGTAAGGTACAGGGTAGAGGCCACCCTGGACTGCAGAGTATGGGGTTTTGATTTAGACCATTTCTGTTCAGTAATTGCTATAAATTTATATAAAAGCCCAACATGGTAATGAGCTCATGTTAGAAGGAACTTTTAAGAGTCTTAGGTAGAACTAGAAAAGTGCTATAGTTGGGGAACTTGCAGTGAAAGTTGAGCACGTAGAAGCAGAGGTAGGAAGCCCTGTTCCTCCTCACTACATAAAGCACCTACACACAGCCCAGTATCTCCTTACCCTGAGAAGTAAATCATTGTTTTTGCTTTATAGTCGGTCTCTAGGAACATGAAGTGCCTGCTTTTTACAGAAATGGCTTTTAAGGACAATTGATGGTAGATGGCATGACCATGAAGAGCAATGCTTATGAGGTGTTTTGGTGTGTGTTTGTGTGTTTGTTTTTGGCGGAACCAGAGATTGAACTCAGGCCCTTGCACTTTTCAGGAAGCACTTACCCTACTAAGCTGTCTATCTCCCCGGTCCCTGTAAGGTGTTTTGGAAAGTTATGCTAATCAGTTGTGCTGTTTTTACCTCAGGGATGTAGAATAACCTCAGTATTAACTAGTTGAATTGAACTTCCAAATTCTTTTAAATAAAGTAATGCAGTACACTAAGAAGCCTAAACAATGTTGGCAAGTCTGGGTACCCAGAATTTTAAATATGACCAAGTCTTTCATGGAAAGGAGAAATTCTATAGCAAATTAATACTCAATGTATTTCAGAAAATATACCCACTTGTCACAAGTCATTTGTTGATCTTATTTGGTATTTTCATTTTAAGAAAAACAATTTGTTTTGTCCTTTAAAATCAAAGATACAAAAAAAGCAAAAACTGAAGAAAGCACCGAGACTCCCGGACAAACAAAAGATGGTGTGGGAAAGTCAGGTGGTGAGGACGGTGACAGCGAGGTGCCCAGCCTGCCCTTGGGACTGACAGGTAACATCTAGAGAGTTCATGACTCATCTTCTGAGAAGCATCATATGTCTGGTTACAGAATGCAGGGTTCTCTTATCTTCATAAAAGATGAGTTTATGTTCTCTGCTCCTTTTTTTCTGTTTTATCTTCTACCTTGTGATCCTTTCGTACTTTTTGTGGCTCCACTTCTGACATTTAAATATTTTTATGTAGATGTGACTTTGAGATGCTGTTTCATTGGTTCCTGTTGCAGGGTTGGGGGTGTGGGTCTCACGGTGTTGGCCCAGGCTGGCCACTGGCTTGCAACCCTTTTGCCTCAGCCTCCCAAGTAAAAGGTTGCTAACATATGCCACGGTGTTCTACCGGGTTAGCCTTTGCTAAGGCTCGTTCCGTGTTGCAGTAGGATAAGTTGGGGCTCAAAAGTCTGGGTATCAGAGGTTCACATAAACTCAGTTAATAAGGAAGGATAAAGGGCTGTTTTTTGCCAAATTAACCTTCTTTGGCATTGGTTCATTTATAAAGTCAATTTTTAAAAACTCTTTTTATTTATTTGTGTGGTACAGGGTTTCCTGCAGCTTAGACTCAGTGATCCTCCTGTCTCAGCCTCCCCATCACTGGGATCACATGTCCAGTTTTGGTGGCTGGCACAGCACAGAGCTGGCATGGAATGCCGTACTGGGGGTTAAACCTGGGTCCTTGGCAGGCGTTTAGATCTAAGGCAGGTGCTTAGATCGCAGAGCTGTGTCCCTAGCCCAAAGTCAACAATTTAAAATTTGCTCTTCCAAACGAGAAGTTTCTAGAAGTGGCTTGAGCTTTTCTTTAGTTTGGGCCATTTTGGTTTTGTTCAGGTATAAAGGTCCAGCCCCAGCCATGTTTAAAATTATAAAAGTTGGTAGGGACTGTAACTCAGTGATAAGCATCTGCTTAGTATGTATGAGCCCCCAAGTTTGATCCTTAGCACAAGAGGGGAAAAATTATCTAGCTAAAAATGTCATTTCCTGTATTTCTTCACTAATAGTGAAAGTGTATGATAATAAATTATTGAAAGTTGAAAACATAATTAAAATACAGGTTTTTAGTGTACCTAACATTATATCGTAACCCATTGTAAACATGCTCAGAACTCTTTAACATGAGGCTACAGTTGGGCAGAATTTTTCACCACAAAGCCTGCTTTGTTTAACACTGTTGACTATAACATAATTTATTAAATACCGTATCAAAAGTGAAAAACAGTGGTTATGTGGATATGCTTTCACATCATCATAAATTGCACATGTAGGTTGAACCATTTGTTATAAATTTGGGACCATCCGTATTGCCATGGCTGACAGTTCCTAGTTTATGGCCTGGTGTAGCAGAGCGAGGCATCCCTGGAGTATTCTGATTCCTTCCTCTACTGAAAACCACTGCCCCACTTGAAGTGTGATTCCATGTAGCATTCTGTGGCTGGCTGATTCTTCTCATTGCCTTTCTCGAGTGAGGCTAACTTTTTTGTTTGATCTCATGATCAGTCTTTATTATACATAATGTTTTCACTTTTTTATCAGATTTCATAAACATTTCTTTAAACCTCCTCCTTTAGCATTTTCATTTTATGTAAATACTTTGATTATATCTCTTCTATACTCATTTTTAAGGTAGGTTTGGGGCTTTATATCACAAAGCCAACAGCAGTGGAGGGATTTCAAAAAGTTTAGGGTTTTTTCTTAATATTACGTGGGAATCTTTATTACTGTAAAAAGCTCTTAATCAAAACTAACTTAGGAAACCGTCTGGCAATATTGACCTTAAAAGAAATGCTTGCTGATGACGAATAATCTTTTCAGGAGCTTTTGAGGATACTTCTTTTGCTTCTCTAACTGATCTTGTCAATGAAAACACTCTGAAGGCAATAAAAGAAATGGGTTTCACAAACATGACTGAAATTCAACATAAAAGTATTAGACCACTTCTGGAAGGCAGGTATGATTAATACTGATGGTTGGGCATGAATAGCTGTTTCTAGTGTTGTGAGATTATAAAGAAATATCAGTGTGTTGAATTAATTTTGCAGTATGTGTTAGGTCATGTATATAGCCTGTATTGGAAGTTTCACGTAATCTGATGCATGAAGAAAAATGTCCACGTCTCTGTAACATGGTTCTTATTTCTGAGCTCGGTGTGTAGCCCAAGAGATGATGGTGGTGGTAGGGCAAGCCTGGACTGCGTCTTCAGGTTCTAGCTTAGTGCGTAAAGCGTGGCGATGCATGTTGAGTGTCATTAAGAAATTACTGAATGGGCATTTCTTTCTCCTTCCTCTTTTTTTGTTTAGGGATCTCTTAGCAGCTGCAAAAACAGGCAGTGGCAAAACCCTTGCATTTCTCATCCCTGTGATTGAACTCATTGTTAAGTTAAAGTTCATGCCCAGGAACGGTAAGATTCTGATCTTTCTCCATCACTGGAATTTATTGCGGCTTTCAGGGACTCGTGGTTTGACTGACCATCTGACCTCTTTTTGCCTTTAGGAACAGGGGCCCTTATTCTGTCTCCTACTAGAGAACTGGCCATGCAGACGTTTGGTGTCCTTAAGGAGCTCATGACCCACCACGTTCACACGTACGGCTTGATCATGGGTGGCAGCAACAGGTCTGCAGAGGCCCAGAAACTGGCTAATGGGATCAACATCATCGTGGCCACCCCTGGCCGCCTCCTGGACCACATGCAAGTAGGACGCTGCTCCATAGCGCTTCTCGGGTCTTGTATGAAACAGTAACCTGAAAAGTGACCATTTTTCTTTCCGTTTCTTCTGTTAGAATACTCCAGGGTTTATGTATAAAAATCTACAGTGTCTGGTTATTGATGAAGCAGATCGTATCTTGGATGTTGGATTTGAAGAAGAATTAAAGCAGATTATTAAACTACTGCCAAGTAAGTAGGTAGCATCTGTGTGTGGCTTGCACAGAGTTGAATAAATGGTACATGTTCCCGTAGGAAAACTGATCTGAAAATACCAGATGAACTAGACATACCGGTTGATCTTAGAGCTAAACTGACATACAGGCGTCAGACTTACTATCGATTTTATTTAGCTGTGTCACAGATGATAGTGCAAGATGAGCAGGCGTAGCATCTCTGTCCTCCTCTCTGACATCTTCCCTCTCCCTGTCTCATCTAGCATCTCCCAGGTAGCCAGTTTTATTGTCCTCTGTGTTCTATTTGATTTCCACATTACCTCACCTGTAATTTTGTCACGTTTTAAGCTTTTATCAGTAGTAAAGCTGCTGTGTCATTCATTGTATGATTTGTGTCTTAAAGCTATATTGAAGTACAATTGCAGAATTGGTTGTTCATATTTAAAAATCTACAGTTTTGATGTTCTGTGGCCTGCTTATCCCCTGGAAACCATCACTGCAATCGCGGATGTGCCCTTCACCCTCGGAAGCTTCCTTGTACTGCTGTGCAGTTGCTCCTGCTCCCCTTCCTCACGGGGCGCTTCACCAGGAGACTGCTCGTCCGTTCACTGTTGCTGTGCCCCATCTTGGATGTGTCTTAGCTGTCAAAGTCTTAGACATAAAGCTCGCCCTTTGGAATATTTGCATGGTCCACAGTAGCTGTGTTCATACTGTGAAATCACTATAAAGAGTCCCAAGAGGATGCAGTTATTTCTACATATGTCTGTTTCAGTACGCAGACAGACCATGCTCTTTTCTGCCACGCAAACTCGAAAAGTCGAAGACCTGGCAAGGATTTCTTTGAAAAAGGAGCCATTGTATGTTGGCGTGGATGATGACAAAACTAATGCCACGGTGGATGGTCTTGAGCAGGTACTATGATAACAAATAACCTGAAACTGGAAGGCTCTTATTTGGTGTTTCCTTGTGATTGTGCAGAAGTCACCCATAAAGCAAATGGGTGAATGAACTTTGAATTCAAATAGAAGTTGGGTACTGGGTCTCGACTCGCCGGGTATATGAACAGTGAGTAACTTGGTCAGTTGATACTACGCTGCTTGGCATATGGGAAGAATTTTATTTATTTTTTCTGTACTTAGGACAGGTTCTACAGGGTCTCACTGTGTGTAGATCAGACTCGGTGATTCTCCTGATTTCAGCCTCCCAAGTGCTGGGATTACAGGTGCACGCCACCACACCCCGTCTCAAGTGCACCCTGTGGGCGGGGCTGGAACTACACGGGATTGAACGCTGGCCACTACACTGCCTAAGCAGGCGCTTTAGTCCGCTGAGCTATCAGGCCTGCCCATATAGGGAGAATTATTGATCACTCAGTATCATTTCTACTTTAAAAGCCGTAGAAAAGGTTTTCATAACCTCTGTAACATTCAAAGTAAGTTGAGTGATAGAAAAACACTTCACTTAGCTGTGAACGGTAAAAGAGGTGACATGCAACTTGGGTTGAAAGATTGAGTCTTTTGGTGAATATTTTTCTTTTAACTTGGTATATAGCTTAGACATTTTCAGTTGGTTTAGGAATTAAGTTTGGAGGAAGCACTGGGGTAGAGCTCAGTGTTAGAGCACTTGTCCCGCACAAGAAATAACATCCATCCATGCTTTGGAAATGCCTCACAGCACAGAGCAGTTTATTCCAGTGTTCTATCAGTATTGGTTTATGGAGCTGAAAATGTCACTTGACAAACTTTCTGTTTACCCATCTCTAGGGATATGTTGTGTGTCCCTCTGAAAAGAGATTCCTTCTGCTCTTTACATTCCTTAAGAAGAACCGAAAGAAGAAACTCATGGTCTTCTTTTCATCCTGCATGTCCGTGAAATACCACTATGAGTTGCTGAACTACATTGATTTGCCTGTCTTGGCCATTCACGTAAGTGATTGTAAGGAGTTTATGTAAAAGTCAGTTCAGCCTACGAGGTTCAGTAGCTTGTGGGGTTGGAGTTGCTGTTCTCTCCTGAGTGCAGTTTTGAGTCAGTGGGTCATGTGCGGTCAGTCCTGTGGAGAGAGCTCTGCTACGTGTAGGAGGGATGCGGACTGTAGAGCAGTGGGACGTCATATTCCCAGGGGCTTGCAGCCCGGTTGGCCTGTAGGACATAGACTAGGAAGTGAGCTTGAAATATGGTAGTGTAACGAATCCACAATTTGGGGGATGCACATGCAGACATCCTAGAAGCAGCTCATAATGGGTTTTGTTTTCTTTAATCTAGGGGAAGCAGAAGCAAAATAAGCGTACAACGACATTCTTCCAGTTCTGCAATGCAGATTCCGGGATATTGCTGTGCACGGATGTGGCAGCGAGAGGGCTGGATATTCCTGAAGTCGACTGGATCGTTCAGTATGACCCTCCAGATGACCCTAAGGTACTGGCATCCTGAGGTGTCGTCAGAATGTCTCCTTGTTAAAGAGTGCACTTACTGTCCCTATTCCCTGAGAAGCACATTCACGTCATAAGGTTTAGCCCTTCTGTGAAGCCACTGCAGAACTGCTGTGCAGTCATTACCTGGGACACTGCAAGCCCAGCAGGGATGTGCAGTGAGTTGAGAGGCATCAGTAGGACTCGGGAAGAATGGGAGCGCCCTAGAGTGATATGCCCAGAGCAGCCGACATCTGAAGGAAGCAACTCTTGCTTAAGAAAGTAGATGCGATTCTTTAACGTTTATGATAGAGTAAACTTCAGTAAGAACTATTTTCAGCACACAGTAGCCTCTAATAAATTGACCTTTTCTAAATCTTTTGTTGTTGTTGATACAGGATCTCACTACACAGCTGGGACTCACAGTGATCATCCTGTCTCAGCCTCCCAGTGCTAGGATTATAGGCATGTGCCACCACGCCCAGTTTTGGTGGCTGGCATGGCCCAGCAAGCAGTATGAAGGATTGAACCCAGTTCCTTGCGCTTGCCAAGCAGGTGCTTAGACCACCCAGCTGTCTCCTCAGCCCCAAATTGACTTATTTTTTATGTATTTTAGTTCAGGATCTACAGGGTCTTGCTACATAGATCGGAGTTGTACTGATCCTCCTGTTTTCAGTCTCCCAGGCGCTGGAAGACTTGGGTGTACCACCATGCCCAGTCTCAATCGCTGTCAGCACATCCCAGGGGTGGGGCCAGCACAGCATGCTGCACTCTGCCTAAGCAGGCACTTTATTCTGCTGAGCTATCTGGCCAGCCCTTAAATTGACATTTTTAAAAGCCATTTTGAAGAAGAGGACTCATTAGGTCACAGTGCTAGCGTAGTCGTGATTTGCAGCCTTCATCATGGACCTGTTAGCATTTAGGGACAGTGGTGGCAAAAGGTCTTCTGGCCTTCCCCATAAGACCCAGTGAAGGCGAGTGCCCCAGCCCCATGGGGCGCATGCCTTCCATGCAGACGTGCTGCCTGCCTCTTGCTCTCGAGGGCACTTGCGCAGTGCAGCCCTGGTGACCACATTGCTGTGGAAGTCCATCCCTTCACTCTGGTTTCCTTCTCCACCCAAGGAATATATTCATCGTGTGGGTAGGACTGCCAGAGGCCTGAACGGAAGAGGGCATGCCTTGCTTATTTTGCGCCCGGAAGAATTGGGTTTCCTTCGTTACTTGAAGCAGTCCAAGGTAAAAATCTCGCATGGGGGTATAAAGTTGGGACAAGAGTTCTCTTGGAGCAGGGGCTGTGAGCAGGTTTCATTTCTAGGTGCAGCAGGAGTCTCAAGTCAAAGCATTGTTAACGAGTGTTACAGGGCTTTGTGTGTTTGGGCCGGCTCTGGCTGTATGTGCCTCAGCAGTGCCTCTGTGTCCTAGTTTCTCCTCCCTAGTCTCCGCTGCTCTGGGATCCCTCACGGGGACAGCCCTTTTTCCTTGTAACTTTGTTTCTTTCTTGCCTTATGTTAAGCATTGGGACCATCTTCCTCCTGCCTCTGCCTCCTTTGCCTCTTTGACCCCTTTTCAGTCACTTCTGCCCTGAACTCTCCCTTGAATTAGCCCTTTACCCTCGCATCTCCCCGTAAAGTATAAATACAGCCCTGCCTCCAGAGTGGCTGCTGCCTGCTTCCCTTCTGCAGTCTGTCTTTTCAAGAAAGTCGATTTATGTTTTTCCATTTACCTCCCCTGAGTCCCCCAACAAGTTCAGTCCAGCTTTGGCCTGATTCCACCTACAGCACAGTATCATCAAAGCTTTAAGCAGCTCCTCGCTGCGGGGCCATGCGGATGGTGTCAGGCCTCCTCTCCAGGCCACATGGATCTTCCCCGGCCTTCCAGACACAGGCTTGCTAGGCAGGCCCCCCTGCCCTGGAGCTCAGTGTAGTTCCCTGAAGTTCCTACAACCGTGGCACACCTTCTCTGGAAGGCCCTTGCCTGCTTCTCCTGAATCCTCTGCTCACGGCCAGCTGCTCTCTTCTTCAAAGCTGTCTCTGCTTTCCCACCCTCAGGATCCTGAGAGCACACACTCCCTTTGACCTGTCTCATCATTCTCCCGTGTTCTCCCCAAGACTGCAAGCTCACCCTCTGGGCGGGGTCCAGGACTTCACCTACTTTTTCCCAGTAGCTAGCTAGCTCAGGCCTTGTACATTTCTGTTTACCTAATAAATGATGAGCAATGACCTTATTCTTGTATGAGTTTATCATCATGGCATATGATGTCACAAGCTCCATCCACAGGACACAGGGTGGTGGCAAGGCCTCTTCTGACATGGGGGAAAGAGCTAAGGACATGGTCCTTCTGTCTAGATGCTCTAGGCTGCTTCAGTAAGCAGGGTAGTGGAGGTCGCCAGAGAGAAATGCTTCAGTGTCCCTGTTGGGTTCCTTCTCTTACCCTATTAGGAAGAGATGAGGCTCCTTAGCACAGTTCCTGCGAAGTCAGCAGAGCAAAGCTGGAACTCTTTGTTGACATGGGGAGGCTGGAAAAAGATTGCACTACCTATCCTGAGAATTCCCCCACTTGCATCCTTTCCTATCTCTAAGAATTAAAGCCACGGTGGCCGGGCTCCGCTCAACTTCCCTCATTGGTTATAGGACATTTTTCACTTTATTCATTCATCTAAACATGTGAATGTTAATCATCGTAGCTTATTAATCTTTAATTGTGTTGTTGTTTTCTAGGTTCCACTAAGTGAATTTGACTTTTCCTGGTCTAAAATTTCTGACATTCAGTCTCAGGTATGCTTCTCCCCATGCCTTTCTTGTTAGGGTGACCCATTGTCTGTGTTTCAGTCGGGGGTGCTGCTGTCCTCTGAGTCCGCCCTTTGAGAAAGGGGGCCTATGGTGAATGATGTTCACTCTGTGATCCTTCAGGTTTCTTTGCTTCCATTAGCCCAGGCTGTGAGAACTCAGGCATTCTTCTAACCACATCATTCTGCAAAGAAGCCAAAGCTTGGAACTAATGGGTTACAACAACAGTTTTTGAAAGATGTTTTCTAATGTTTGAGGTCTGCTTTTTTAATTTTATTAAAACCTGTTTAGCTAGCTGTTCAGTGTCATACAATCCTACCACTCTGGGAGATTGAAGCTTGGCAATTTAGCAAGACCTTGTTTAAAATTAGAAAATAAAAGAGCTAGGAATGCAGCTCAGTGTGAAGGCCCTGGGTTCAAAGGTGCAATGTTTCTTTCTATTTCAGCTTGAAAAATTGATTGAAAAGAACTACTTTCTTCATAAATCTGCCCAGGAAGCATACAAGTCATACATACGAGCGTATGACTCCCACTCTCTGAAGCAGATCTTCGATGTTAATAACCTAAATTTGCCCCAGGTTGCTCTGTCATTTGGTTTCAAAGTGCCTCCTTTTGTGGATCTCAGTATCCTTTTTATGGTTACTAAGTCACCCTGCAATCAAAGAACAAAAGCTTGACGAGACATTTGGGGCTTCCCAGCAGGTTGGTGTGCCCTGGGTGCCAGCCAGAGGCTCTGGTTCATCCTATGTGGACCACGGGGTTGCAGGAACAAAACCACTTAGGACCGAAACTGCAGGAAAGGTGAAGGAATGTGACTGTCAGGGAGAGGCAGAGGTGAGTTGCTCATTCGTAGCAGGAGCAGAGGTGAGCGAGAGCTCAGGTGACTGCTAAGGCTGCGCTGTACCAGGTACTTAGAGTACAGTGGCCCCTCACTTAGTGCAGAGGCTACGGTCCAGACACCCCGCAGCAGCAAAGTAGCAGTGTTACAGTTTTGTGTGTATGTGTGTGTGTGTATAAAGACTATATACCCTTTCCACACTCCTAGAAACCTTTCCAACATGTTTAAGCATTTCTACTTAACCATTTTCCAAAATGTAAACCTATGTAATTTTAACAGCATATATGTACTGTATGGTACTGCAAAGTCCCGCAGTACAGCAAAAAAAAACAACAAAAAAGAAAAACCACGATAAATAACCTAGATGAATATTTTTTGAAAACCCATGAAGCAGTGAATCCACGAAAGTCAAACTGTGCAATAGTGAGGGGCTGCTGCAATGGCTAAAGGAAGGACAGGATCTTTTAGAGTTAGAACCCCTTAGAGACAACAGAATTTTATTCAGACTCCTAAGGCCTGAGCTCCAGTCCCACAGCTAGGTGATTAACAGAATCGGTTACTACGTGAGGAATTGCATGTAGTGTATCCATTGTAATACTCAGAACGAAGAAATGGCCAAAGGAAGCTCCAATTTTGAAAGTGTTGCTTTATTTGCATAATTCTTATGTGAGTACTATAATATGTAAAAGAATATAAAATTGCAGAACTGTCCAGGATAGTGAAAATTAGGATATTGTATAAATAAGGCATTATTAAAAAAAAAAAACTCCCCAAGGGTCCACAAACAAGATATAGTGAACTGTACAAAAAGAGACAGGTTGTAAGGCAAAGAAATTAAACAAGGAGTAGCTACAAAAATAAACATTGGGCAAAAGAAAATAAAAGTTCATTGTTGCTAGAAATAGAAGGCAAAGGGAGTACTTGCCGTTGATTCTGTTGCAATTTATAGTGCATTTTCTAGAAACAGCTGAGACCCATCCTTAGTGCTGCAGCAGTCCCTCCCAAGGGGACAGCCAAATCTGGGCCTCCATCTCCATTGTAGACGCTGGGTGCGTGCTCGCTGTAGTGAGAACTTACTGCTTGGGATAGCTCCCGCACGTGAGTCCAGCAGAAGTGGAAGTCCATCTGTTGTGGACTTATTAGGTATTATTTCTACAGAGGTGTTAGATATTTCTACTTGTCTTCCATTCTGTTGCAATGAGAAGATTAATATGATTGTTACACTCAGCTTTAAAGCCCTAACCTGCTGATATTAGCTCATCAGCGTGTGGCCTTGCCTGTTACTGAGCAGCCATGTGGCAAGCTTGTGTCCTCACGTTTCCATTTTGCGGGAAGGGCTGTGGTCGAGGGCAGTGCTGCTGTGCTTGGGGTCTCTGTGTAGAGGTTAGGTTGCAGTTCGTCACCTGGTTGGTTCATTCCCTTGACTTCCACCTGTAGACGTGAACAGCAGTGAAGGCAAGCACAGAAAGAGAGGAGGCGGCGGCGGATTCGGCTACCAGAAAAGCAAGAAAGTTGGAAAGTCCAAAATCTTTAAACACATTAGCAGGAAATCATCGGACAGCAGACAGTTCTCTCACTGAAGACAAATTCCTTTGATCTAGAGTAACCCTTCTGAAATGAATTTATTTTCCTTTACAAAGAAATTTTTGTAGTTCTGTAAGTCTTTCTTGTCTTTGATGTGATCGTACAATTTTTCAATTTTAAATACTCCCTGCAAAAATTTTTGTTACTGTTTTACTACCAGTATAAATGTTTTTGTAGCTTCCCTGTATGCTACAGGAGGCTTTTGTGGCACGGGTTTCTATGCTGACGTACTATACAGCGGGACTTGGTATGCTGCTAGGTGGTGGCAATGCCGAAGCAAGTCTGGCCTCACCCTTGCGGTCTGGGTCTTGGGCCTCAAGAGTGGCTTGGAGCTGCTCCTGAAAACGCAGTTGGAAAGGGCCCGGCGCTTCAAGAGACACACAGGCAGCAGCTGTAGGTAAAAGCTGTCATTTTGATGCTCCGGGCCTTAAAACAACAAGCTTAGCAAGGAAGGACCGTGGGTCGATGGGTAGGTGGTATTTTATGTCTATTGCGAGGTGATTTGGATGGTAGTAAAATCTTCCAACTGTGCAGCATAAAGACAAGGGCACATATCAGTAGACTTAACACCGAGTCTGAAACAGCGCCCAGTGTGTACGTTAAATTCTTTGTGAGGAGAAAATGATCTCTTCCAGTCCCTGAAGGAAATACATCGGTGGTAAAAATTGCAGCAAACAGATCAGAAAACACGGGAATGTTTTCGTGTAGGACCACTTGGTTTGTAGTGAGTTTTGTGTGGTGTACAACTACAAAATAGCTAATGTTAGTAGCAATTCAAATTGCTGTCGTGCCATTTAGTATTCAGAGTCTGGTTAAATGCCATTATGCAGAGGACATCAAGTGTAGAGAAAAGAGGTGGATAAATGACAGTACAGTGGAAGACCAAGAGACCGGCAGCGGCCACCTCTGCGTGACTGTTGTCCTGGCTGCGCTTCCTGCGATTTCAGACCTGGCTGCTGAACATCTGGCTTGGCTTCTTGGATTCCTGACTCCTGGCCTAAAATACCTTTCTTCAGTACTGTTTGCTTCAGAAACAATTATGTTTCAAAAAATATACAAAAGCAAAGAATAATCACTGGACTGAGGTAATACTGAGGACAGTATTGGTATTTTGCTATGTGACCTTCTAGATTTTTATATGCATATTTATACTTTTTAATTTTTTATCAAAAGTGAAGTTATCTTCTGCCTACTACTTATAACCAGCTTGTTTCATATCATTGCCATGAGTCATTAAATGATTGCCCCATCATTTTATATTTCATTTCTGCCTCTCTTCTCCTTGGTTGGTCTGCCGGCTTGGTTTCTCCATACCTGTTTGACTCCTGCCTCTGTCATGGCGGGTCTAGTGCCCCTCTTTGTCTTGCTTTTGTCAATTCCCAGTAGGAGTCTGCCTCCAAAGGTTTTGTGAGGAAAGTGTACTTGGCTGTGGACGTTCTAGGAGTACTGTGGACTTCTACGGTGGCAGGATGATCCAGGCTAGGACCTTCAGACAGACTTCAGTTGCAGGCCAGGATGCAGATGTGAAGGGATCATGAATCACTGTTGTCAGCACAGGACTGAACCGTACAGGTCAGATCAGCAACATTTGCAGGACTCACACACGAAGGTTCCATAGGTTCCTGTGCTGAGAGCACAGCTGGTGGCAAATGTGAGCAGTGGACAGGTGATGTTAAGTGGCTTTATCCAGGAAGGTTAGAAAGCAGCAGGGCCAAGAGCAGAGCAAATCACTGCACGCAAATAGAGGTACTCTGGTGGGCAAGCAGCAACTAATGCTGCCTGATCTGCTTCAGATTCAGTCTCGTCCAGTTGAGTGTAAGCAAAGCTGTACTCAAGATACCCCAGAAGGGCCTTGTCATTCATAAGTAAGAGTTGAAGTGTATTCTCAGGAACCGCCATTCCGTGGTCACGTTCTAGCTGTGCCACCTACAGCTTCTCTGGCGTGTTTCATGAGTAAAAGGAAAGCAGCGTGGTGTGCTTCATCAGATGGAGGCAGCTGAGCTAATGTGGCGCTTAGAGGACAGTGCTGTGTACAGTGCTCTATGGCCTACCTGTTTCTCTGTATCCAGTGGGAATACCTTGCCACCAAAAGCAGCCGGGACGGGGGCTTATCCCACAGGATTTCTGACTTTTACAGCCTCTTACAAGCATTTTCTACGCTTATCTTATAAATGAAGATGCCCAACACAGGAAGTAATGTATAATCTACCACAAGGTAGCATGGTCCTTGGGGGGTGCACATGCATGGACTTCCCAGAGGGAAGCAGCTGTGCCTCTGCTGGAGTGTCCCACGTAGGAGGAAGCGCGCCTTAGGCAGCCTTCCGAGGCACTCATTGCTCCCTCGCAGAGCTCCATGGGTCACTGTTGTCAGCACAGGAGAGAAACCAGTTTGCTTAGCCTCGGGTCCGTGAACAGTTCTCCCCGTGGGACTGGCATCCACATCTATAATTTTGTAGGGCATAGCATGGACTCCTGAGTGTGAGGGGCCGTGCAGCATGTAGCCTTCCTGATTGGAGGCCATTCTGTCACTCGAGTTCTGGTGGGCTGCGGCAATCTCCTCGGGTCGCAGAAACAGGAGCACCTTGGGGCTGGGGAGATGGCTCAGTGGAATAAGTGCTTCTCTGGCGAGCGCAAGGGCCTGAGTTCAATCCCCTGTTCCACCAAAAAAAAAAGAAAAACAGGAGCACCTCACCAACAGCCTGTAGCAGACTCACCTGCCTGGGGCCTGAGTTAAATAGTAATACAGTGGAGTATTGACAGTAGAAGTGATGTCTTCCTGATTCCAGAGGCACAGGGAGCAGTTGGCTGCAGCTGCAGCTTCCAGGCAATAGCCATTCTTAAAAAAAAAAAAAAACTTGGCACAGGGTCTCACTACACAGCTCAGACTTGTAGTGATCCTCCTGTCTCAGCCTCCTCAGTGCTGGGATTACAGGCGTGTGCCACCAAGCCTGGTTTCAGTGGCCAGCACAGTATGCAGTACCGGGGATTGAACACAGGTCCTTCCACTTGCCAGGTAGGCACTTAGGCCGTGCAGCAGCCGTTCTTAAAGCCAAGCCATGGAGCATGCCTGGCTGCGGCTCCACTTTCCACCACCCTCACCCCTGCTTGTTCGGGTTGGTTCTCTACAGCCTTCTCTTTATTTTCAGTTGAGCTTTTTTCCATTTAAATCACAATGGCCTTTTGTTGCTCATAACCAAGAACCTGAGATGTAAACTTCGTTTGCTGACTTTGCCCCTGTTTGTGTGTAAAACACCCAGGTTGGTCACTACTTTCCTGCCCGCTTCACCCAAAGCCTCCTTGCTTCTGAGCTCGGGGAAGTGGATTTTGAGCCAGGCCAAAACTCGAATTAGCTAGGGCAGTGGTGGGGAGCCTATGCCACACGTGACTGTTTTTGTTTTAAGACAAAAGATGTTAATGTATGAGGGCTTTTTCTTAAACCAAAACTGCATTATTCAGGTTTAATTACAGTGTTGGCATTTTGTAATAAATGAGTGGGTTCGGGTTTATAGTTCTGGTACTTGTCTCTGTAGGGCTTCTGATCCAGGGCAGGGTCTCAGGAGGAGGAACAAGCAGCAGGCCACTGCCTCAGGACAGATAGGGAAAAGCTGCTCTGGACCTGGGGTTTTAGAGGTTTGCGGGGAGGGTATTATTACTCAGAACCACAGGAGGAATATTCATAGCTGGAAAGGAGCAGGCTGAGGGTCATTAGGCCTCAACAGGGTGGCAGTTCTATAGCCAGGTAGAGCTTCCACTGAAGCTTTGAGCAAGTGACATCAGTGTGCCTGCTCTTTCATTTGTAGAGAGGATAGAAGAATTGTCCGCAGGATTGCATGAACAGTCAGATAGTCAGATCTTAAAAATGAACTATTGATAATACTGCCAAGAGCATAAGTGGAGATTAGAAGGCAGAATTACTTCTCATTCTGCCAAACCATGAAAAAGTCAAAATTCAGGTGCGTAGCCCAACAGACTACTTGAAGGAGCCCTCTTGCTGGACAAGTCTCACCGTTCATGGTTTCCAGGGTCCCCAGTAGAATTCTGTACCAAAGCCAAAGGACAGCTACTGCTCTGGGACCAGCTGGGCTGCCAGGTGCCTCCCACGGAGTCAGAGTGCTACCGTGTTCATTCTCTCTGCCATAGAGGAAAGGGCAGAAGAGAGAGAGAGAGCAGGACATGTAAGTGTCATGCTGTCATGCTTAGCCGTGCACGTGGGAAGACATGGGGAAGCACATCAGGCCTCAGGCCTTGAGCTAAGCAGTTACCCTCCGAGCCTCCCAGCCCCCAGGAACAACGGTGCCATCTTAGTGATCAGGAGGAAGCAGAAGACAGAAAGTCCATGTCGCCAGTAAGCCAGTGGCCCAGATGGATCCAGATAATGTGCTGCTTTGTTCAAAGCCAAGGGCACTTTCCCAGCCTTGAAAGAATCCTACATTAGGCAGAAGTTGCGTTTTTGTGTCCCCTCTTTCTTCCTAAGTAGTGCTGCACGTGGTATAAGACATGAGGAGAAACCACCAAGTACCCAAGAACCTGAGCCCTAACAACACCCATGGTGCTAAGACAAGGACACAAAGTTCTGGCCTCCAGTCCTAGCTGATGCTGCAATAGAAATGGCTGTGGCAGCTGAGACAGCAGAGGGTCAGTCCCTTGACTTTATTCTCCTACTAGGTATTTGCATGTTGCCGTAGGAAAAACCTCAGGTACAAGCAAGGTGGCTCCATTTCCATCCTACAAGCTCACAGGGATTTCTGGCAGTTCTAGAAGTGTACCACAGAGAGAAAGCCATCTGCAAGGGCTGAGCTCCCCAGGAGCCTTGGGCAGTGCTGCGCTTTGCGTCTGGATGTCTCCCCTAAGCCTCATGCAGTCATGGGAGCAGCTTCTAGAGCTGGTGATTGATTCGTGCTCCAGTGCTGGGATTGTGGGTGTGAGTGCTGCAGCCCCCCTGGGGTGGGGCGGCCTGCATGCAGCGGAAGAAGGGAGAGGCTTGCTGTCCTCGTGTTTGGCTCTTGCCGCTTTTGCTGTCTCCTGCCACCTTGAACTGTTGCCCTTGGCCACGCCACCCTGCCATGCAACCAGCAGATGATTGGCTGAAACGTGCATGAACTCTGAGCTAAATGAACATTTTCTTCCTTCCTTTTGGGTATCAGATATTTCATCTGAGCAACAAGAGAACAATAACTAAAGCGAGTATGGCCTCTGGAGTCCTGGAGCTGCTACAGCTGCAGCGGAGTGAAGAAAGGGAGACAGCAAGGAGATCAGGCCATCTGCACAAGGCGAGGCACTGAGGAGACAGCCCAGAGAGCTTTGGAGCCTTGGCTCTGGAGTCCGTCCATGTTTGAGTCTGGCTGTCATTTTGCAGAGAACCTTACTGGGCCTCGTGGCCGCCCTTTGTAAAATCAGCAGTGCTCACCAGGCTACTGTAGCATTATGTGAACCAGCCCAGTAAGTGTCAGGAATGTTAGCTACTGGCCCAGCCTGTCATACCGTTAGGAAGGGCAGAGAGAGATAACACGAGCCTCAGAGAAAATCAGAAGTGAGACCAGAGAGGTACATTATGAGGTCTGAGTTTGAATTCAGTTTTCAGTGGCAAGCAAGCGGTGTAGCGTCCGATTGTGCATTTTGGTTCATCCTGGCTAATGTTTAGCATGGAAAAGACCAGGGTGAAGCCGCAGGTGGAGAAAACAGGGACTCAGTGAGAGAAAGAAGGAATAGGTGGGAGGGCAGGTCAGCACTGGCATCCTCCAGGTATGGCCAGTGATGCCGAAGAGAAGCCCAGGAGGTTCAGAGATGGCCAAAGGATGCAGTCCACCACAGCCCGGACAGACAGAAGAACACTCCACTAGCAAGTACAGAAAAATAGGTGTGTAGTCCTGAGCAAGGAACCACATAAACTCACTTTCTTCAACCCATGGGAGTTCATCCCTGTCTTTCAGGATTACTGTGACTTTATTTTTATTTTATTTTTTGAGGTACTGGGGATTGAACTCAGGACCCTGCTCTTGCCAGGCAAGTGCTTATTCTATTGAGCTGTCTCCCCAGACCCTAGGATTACTGTGACTTAATCAACAAATCCTAAGCATTTTATGTAGTACAGCCTATGCAACCATCAGTCCCTTTAGTTCCTGCTATGAAAATGCTGTCTTCTAACATTGTCTTTTAGTTTTCTCATGTAACTGAGCTGAACTTAAAGGTTAGTTCATCAGTGAAGGAAAGTGTTGTTTTTGTTTTTGCTTTTTGCTTTTTTGGTGCCAGGAAGTGAACTTGGGCTTCATGCTTGCCAGGCGGGCCCTGCACCGCTGAGCTATATCCCTGGCTCTAGAGAAGTGTTTCTACAATTTAATTTCAGTACAGACCTCTGCACGTGGTACTGATATCCATCTTGTACTGAATTTTTCTGGGGTTATATCTGCATGTCTCTGTATCTAGATCAGTGGTCAGTTTGACCCTACAGGGATACCTGGTGTCTTAGTTGCTTGTCACTTGTTGCTAGGACAAACACCCAACACTCAAAATGAAGGAAGGAAAGGTTTATTTAGCTCACAGTTTGTGGAGGTTTCAGTCCATACTCAGCTGGCTCCAGGGTACAGGGCAGCAGTTCATGCAGCTGCGGCACCCATCAGGCCTCTTCCTTCCACAATGACTGCGGAGACCTGTGCTCCACCGTGAAGATCAGAGCTCCGAGGTGGCACAGCTCCAGAGTGGCCCAGTGAACACCAGGTCTTCTCCAAGGAAGCAGGGGCAGCAGAGAAGCCTTCCTCAACTCCTTTATATGGTCTTTCTATGCTGAGTCACACTGGGGCAGGCCCGTCGCACCTTAGGGTAGGACCAGTGGTGCCCTAAGGTAGGCCCTCCCTGCCCTCAAGGCTGGGCCCCCACAGCCAGGAACTGCTGGAGCCATTCAGCCAAGTTGACACAGTGTATCCACTGCCACACCTGGCCATGCCAGAGACAGTTTTACTTGTCACTGCTTGGTGGCAGACACCACTGGCATCCGGTGGGTGGAGGCCCAGGAGGACACTCAGCATGCTATGGTGCACAGAACAGTCCCACAGTGTATGAGCTCTGTGTGTCACACAGTGCCACAATGAGGCGACCTGACCAAGACCATCCTGAAGGGCATCCTCATACCCCTTATTTCTGTTAGCTCAGTAAATAGATTAAAAGGAAGAGAAATCAGGAGGAGTTAGGATTTATGAGGAAGAGAGAGACCTAGTTTGGTTTTTTGTTGTTTTTTAGTACTGGCGATCAAACTCAGGACCTCGTACTAGCTGGGCAGGCTGAGCTATATCCCTGGCCCTTGGGTAATTAGTTTGGAGCCAGTCACTTTTAAGAATTCTGTTGGATATCCAAAGAGATAGTTCCAAAATGAAGACTGAAATCTGAAGAGAATTTGGAATCTGATGTTAGAGCCCTTCATCCAGGGACGCTTTCGGGAGTAACTACTTTGTGTAGAGCGCTGTGCGGATGATGTGGCAGCAGAGCTGAGCACCACAACCCCACTCAAGAAACTTCTAGTCTACCAGGAATGGGAGAGGCGTAGAGGTGAGTTGCCGTGAGTAAACCACGTGGGAGCCCATGGGAGTTCATCCCTGTCTCTCAGGATTACTGTGTGACTTAACAAATCCCAAGCATTTTGTGTAGTACAGCATATGCAACCATCAGTCCCTTTAGTTCCTGCTGTGAAAATGCTGTCTTTTAACATTGTCTTTTAGTTTTCTCATGTAGCTGAGCTGAACTTAAAGGTTAGTTCATCAGTGAAGGAAAGTGTTGTTTTTGTTTTTGCTTTTTGCTTTTTTGGTGCCAGGAATTGAACTGGGGTCCTCACGCTTGCCAGGCGGGCCCAGCACTGCTGAGTTATATCCCTGGCCCTAGAAAAGTGTTTCTACAATTTAATTACAGGGTCTCACTACACAGATTGGACTTGTGATCCTCCTGTTTTCAGTTCTCCCAAGCGCTAGGATTACAGGCATGTGCCACCATGCCCTGTCTCAGTTGCCATCTCAGCCTACCCCGGGAATGGGGCTGGCACGGCACGCTGGGAATGGAACCCCCAGCCCCCGCACCTGCCTAAGGAGGCACTTTAGTCCACTGAGCTATCTGACCGACCTCTATGTTGTTACTTTTAACCGGAGCACATTATCTGGTAGTATCAGAAAAGTAAGAAGGCCATGTTATTCAGCCTTGTCATGTAACAAATACTTGAGATGGTCAACTTATTTAAAGTTTATTTTGCCCACAGTTTTGGAGCTGCCAGTGCATGGTCAGTTGGCTCCACTGCCTTTGGGCCCATGACAGGCAGCACATTAGGGCAGCAGAGTGTGGTGGAGCAAAATCACTCAGTTTGTGGTCAGGACTGAAAGCGAAGACAAAGTCAGGATCTCACGATTCCCTTTGAAGGTGCACCCCTGCTCAGTGGCCTAGCACCTTCCCACTGGGCCTTGCCTCCTGAAGGTTTCATCACCTCTAGTTGTACCTCCCTTCTAGGGACTGAGCCTCTGACAGCTGGGCCTTTGGGGATGTGATGGTTGATTGATTCTTTCAACTTGAGAAAGTAATGCTGAACTAAACTGGCTCAGCGTAGCTCTGTATTTCCAGAGCTACATCCTAGGGAGGATTATCACCAGAATGGCATGCAAGAGAAAGAAGAAAGGATTTCCTCTGCTTTCTTCAGTGGAGCTCCAGTCTTCACTTTCACCTTGGACATTGTCACCTTGGACTGGCTTCCAGCACAGATTTTTCAGCCTCCAGCACCAACAATATTAGTGATCCTTGAGCTTTGGATGTGTAATAATTGAAGCAAGAGGGCTGGTGAGATAGCTTAGCAGTCTAAAGTACCTGCTTAGGCAAGCTTAGGCAGGCGCACAGGACCGCCGCCATTCAATCCCCAGCACCACAGCGGTCTAGCCCTGCCCTCAGGGCAGGCTGAGCCAGCAAAAATGATGATGATGATGATGATGATGATGATGATGATGATGATGATGATGATGATTGAAGTAAAACGAAAGGGCTCAAATAGTAGCCACAAAGCTTCTGTCACGTGGTGTTCTATGGCATGAGCACAAAACCCCTATTACTGTTAAAAATGAATGTTGAACTGCTGACTTACATAGGTCAAGAGACACTAGACTGGGAAGAGGTCATTGTTTTCATGGGATGGAAGATTTTTTGGTTAAAGGGAAGGAAAGCACAAAATGGAGAAAAATTCTAAAAATTTAAGGTGAAAAACAAGGTTCCTTCCAGACTTCTTCCTTGGTAACTAATATTTATGGAAAGTTTCTTTCATAAATGCCACTAGGCGCACCCTTGGCTTTAAGAGGTGGGCTGGCATTTGCACTCCACTGGCTCTGGAGCCTGGAGGCTCTTAGCTCCTCATCACCCGGATGAGGGGATCAGCTTTTGGTGAGGACAGGAAGAGAAAGCTGCTGGGGTCCTTGGGAGGCCGAGGGCTGCTGAGCTCGCTGACAGACCCAATAGCAGCACCTCAGTTACATGTACATCCTAGTCCTGGAAGCCATGGATATATTACCTTGCATGGCAAGAGGACTTCGTAGATGTGCTTTAATTAGCGCCTTTGACAAAGATATTATTGTAGGTTATGCAGATAGGCCCACTAACCTGTACTTTCACAGGCCCTTTGGAAGCAAGAACATCACAGTGTAAGAAGACGATGTGACAACAGAAGCCACAGTCAGAAAGTTGGGGCTTTAGAGACACTGAGCACCTGGCTTTAAAACTGCAGGGTGGAGCTACAATCCACCACATGGCTTGTGTAAATTGGTTATAACGGCAATAAAAAATGAACACAGCATTCTTGTTTCCAGTTAAAGAACGTGTTCATACGTGTACATATTTGCTAGGACTCTTGTCACTCATTTGGAAGAGAGAAGTTTTAAGTGCTGAGACTTTAGCATTCGCCCTTGGGACAGGGTTTTACACCGGTGGAAATGGGTTTAAATATTAATAGACCACAGGACTTGAAGAAACTTTGGAACAAGCTCTGTTTGGACTCCAAATTCTCCAAAGCCCAGGGTGGGAAAGACTTGAATTCACTAGCATTCCCTGCTTTAAAGAATGTCCTCTGGTAGTGCCAGGGGAGGCCCTATCTGCAGTGGATGAAGCACAGCGCTGCACATTCCCCTGTCTCATCTCTGAAGTCACACACCCGTGCTGCTCAAGTGGTCAGTAATAAACGTAAACTGGGGAGAAGTGTTGGGAATGTGTCCTAAATCCAGCATTTTACAAAGCTGTCCTGCAGGAATTCTAGGAAGTTGGCGGCGACGATGCCAACCCAGCATTTGTGTCTGTCTGAATCGTAACATAAACAGAGCAATTGGAAGGCAAAGCCAAGAAGCACAGAGGACATTTGTCACCAAAGGAAGCAACAGACTATCTCCTTGAATCCCAGAATACACATAGGTGAGCAAATCACCAAAGAGCTACCA